CTGGCCAACATAGTGAAACCCCATCTGTACTAAAAATACAAAAATTAGACAGTTGTGGTGTCAGGTACCTGTAGTCCCAGCTACTCAGGAGGCTGAGGCAGGAGAATCGCTTGAATCAGGGAGACAGAGGTTGCAGTGAGCCAAGATTGGCCACTGCACTCTAGCCTGGGTGACAGAGCAAGACTTCGTCTCAAAAAACAAACAAAAAATAATCATCTTTGGGAGGCTGAGGCGGGTGGATCACGAGGTCAAGATATCGAGACCATCCTGGTCAACAAGGTGAAACCCCGCCTCTACTAAAAATACAAAAAATTAGCTGGGCATGGTGGCGCGTGCCTGTAATCCCAGCTACTCGGGAGGCTGAGGCAGGAGAATTGCCTGAACCCAGGAGGCGGAGGTTGCAGTGAGCCGAGATCGCGCCATTGCACTCCAGCCTGGGTAACAAGAGCAAAACTCTGTCTCAAAAATAATAATAATAATAATAATCATTATTATTATGTTTGTTTTTGCTGAACGTGTATAATCCAATGGGTGGAATTAAGCCAGATATGATAGCATTTCTCTGGTGGGTCAGCTGTTTGGGCTGGAGTGTCCACACGTCCATATTGAGGCCCTTCCCAGTGCCAGTCAGGGCTGGATGAGCAGAGAAGGAATCTGGGGCCGGTCCTCCTGAATCCTCAATTCAGCTGAAAGTCCAAGGATTCAGAAGCTTCTCGGTTCAATCCAGGACATCCAGGTCTCTATGAAGGTGTATTTTTCAAGTCAAGAGGATATAATATATAACTTTTTAATCCAGTTGTTACCTTAGTTAGTAACTTCTAGATACTTAAACACTTGGTATAGGACCCTCTGTTTGTAATCTTGCTTTGGTCCTACACTGAATACATGGCATGTTTTCCTGAATTGGAGGGAGAAGCAGCAGTGGGGGCTTTCCCACATGCCTGCACAGTGCAATTTCAAATTGTTGAGAAGGCCTGTAGCCATTCTAACTGTCTCTCTCCAAGTCTCCCAGGCTCCTGCTGTCTCCCTCTCCCAGGCAGTCTCATACTAAACGACAAGTAAATTCCAAATGCTTCTTGCTTTCTGAGTAGAGAATTCAGATGTCCACATGGCACCTGTTTTCTAGACCCTGCTACCTAAAGTGTGGATCACAGGCGGAAATGCAGCCTCCCAACTACCTGTGAAGCTGCATTTTCTGTTCTTTTGATCCCTAAGGAACATAGTGGGGAAATGCTGTCAGAGAAGCCGTGGATGCTATAGGAAAATGTGAGACAGGGCAGGTGAAGAGAGGAGCAAAGACTGGGCCTTGAGGAAGAATAAGAAAATGGAAAAGAAGTGGTGAGAAAAGCCAAAACAAATTCAGGATGACGACGAACACCTAAAAGAAGAGAGTTTTCCTCAGGGAACAAGAACCACCATAGCCTCCTGTCTCATTTAGCAGAGTAGCTGAGGAGGGTGAGAACCAGAGGAAGACCCTACCTAGTTTTGGCAACCAGGAGGCAGAGTAGAACATGGAGGTATGTTGAGGGGAGGGCCTTGGCTTGTAGGGATGGGGCGGGGACTGGAGGAAAGGACAAGAGTCTGGAGGTGGTGAGAAAATGGAATGGAGGGGAATCTGTCCACTTCCGAGAGACAGAGGAAACAGGTAGGAAATGCCCCATGCACATTTGGATGACAAATGGACAATAGTGGCTTCTTTCCAGCCAAGCAGCCCCAGACAGGCAGAAGGAGAGAACACAGCCAAGCAGCCCTGGGCAGAGGGAGAGAACAAGCCTGGAGGTGGAGGGGTAGCTCTGGTCTCTTCCAAGCCACAAGGACCCCACCCTCCTAGAATAGCTGAATGCCACCCCACACCCCTCTACATCAGGCTGCTTTGTCCACTGCTGGCTTCTGTCCTACTGCACCATGTCTCTGAACCTTCAGAGGTGCCCCCAGCTAAGCCACAGGAAGCCCCCAGAGGGCCTTCCTCCCTTCTCAGCCTTCCTGTCTAAGTAAGGACATGATCACATTTGGAGGAAGATAGGACAAACTCCAGGGCAAGGGGTAGGTGCCACCTGAGGGCCTCTCTGGTGCCATCTCCCTTGCCTGAGGTGCTGAGACCACAAGAATCCTGGGGCAGTAGCAGCTCTCAGGGCAAGCCTGGTCACTTCCAACCCAGCATTCTTGGAAACCAGCCTCTTTTACTGTAGTTGCCTGATGGGTTTGTCTTGCAGGATGCACAGATAGAGCCAATTTACCAAGACAGCAGTATTGTAATAGAGAAATCGTTGAGTAAATGGAGCTAGCTAAGTAGAAGACTGGGGTTTATTACTCAAATCTGTCTCCCCCAAAATTGAGAGACGGAGTTTTTTAAAGAATGATTTAGTGGGCAGGGGACTAGGGAATGGGTGCTGCTACTTGATTGGGGATCAAATCACAGAGGTGGGGAAAGTGGTCTTCATGCCCCTCCAGGTGGAGGCCACAGGACCTGGTGGGGTCGATCAGTTGTCAGAAATGCAAAAGTCAGAAAACACCTTTAAAAAAATCTTAGGTTCTACAGTAATGATGTTATCTACAGGAGTAATTGGGGACATTACAAATCTTTTGATCTCCAGAACAGTGGCTGCTTCCATTTAACTCACTCATGATCCTAACCTTATGGACTTTCATTAGTTTTACAAAGGCAGTTTAGTTTTGGGGAGGGTTATTATCATCCTTGCTTTAAGGTGAAACCATGAACTAAAGTCCTTTCAAAGTTAGCTTAGTCTTTACCCAGGAATAAACAAGAAAATCTTGGAGCTTAGAAGCAAGATAGAGTTGGCTATGTTGGGTTTCTCTTATTGTCCTCATTTTGCAAAGGTGGATTCATCGCCTCCAGGCACTCAGCTCTGCTCTCCACTCCCTCCCTGTTGCTTGGGCTGCCGGGTTCTCACCCTCCCACTCTCAGCCTCCCTTCCAACTATTTCCCTGGATTGCTTGCTCCTTCTCCCCACAGAGCTTGCTTCAAATCTAAATAAAGAAACTTAACCTAAATAACAAACTCCTGTAGTGGTTTATTTGGAATTACTGTCCCATTTGACATATGTAGAAACTGAGGCACAGAAGGCAGTTTGTTGGCATCACACTCCAGGAACACTGGTGCTGGGGTTGGAATTCGGGTGACCGGTCTCCACAGCCGCCCCCTCCCCCGCCTCTGTGAAGAGACACTTTCCTCCTCAGCCTGAGACCACCTCCACCATATTCAGGCACAAACCTTCACAGCTGGGAATCATTTGTCCAGGGAAGGGAAGGTACCCAGAAGAACAGAGGTCAGCTGCCCTTTTCAACACATTTCTAAACTCAGACATGGCAGTGAAGTGGCCAGCAGGATACTTTGGCCTTATATGTGCTTGGCTCTGTGTCTGTGGGAGAAAGAGAGGTGGTTTCGCTTTGGGGTTTTTGAGTTTCACAAGCTTAGCTGTGACCATTATCAAGCAAACACAGGAGAGTCAGAAGATAGTGTGGTGAGATAAAGCCAGTTCTCCACCCCAAAAGGAGTGGAGCCAGGGAAGCAGACGAGGAAGCAACTGAGGCGGCATCTGATGCAACGTGGACCCTCCAGGTCCCCGCCACTCCACCTTCCCCGACCATACTTCCTCTCCTGTGAGTGCCCTGTCCCAGTGGTCAGAGTGACCCCTGGCCCCATGCTGTCTCTTCTCAGGGCTGGGAGACTGCTGCCTCTTTCTCACCACACTTCCCCTACTTGTGCACCAGGTGAACCTCCTTATCCTTCACCCTTTGTTCCTTTCCTCCTAGAAGAAAGTGATGCATTTCCTCTGTGGAGCCCACTGTGCCTTCTGCTTATTTCCAATGTAGCCTTTATCTGCCTTGTTCGATTATCATGCTTCCCAGGACAGAGACAACATCTTTCCATCCTTGTAGCCCCTGACACCTCGTGGGCCCTCATGTTGAAGTGATGTGGAAGGGAAGTGCTGGGAAGGGAAGGGCGTGGTCCTTTTAAATGTTACAGAAGGGGGGAAGGGAAGTGCTGGGTAGAGGGGGGCATGGTCTCTGGTTAGGGCTCCACCCCCAACCCATGCCCACAGACCTAGGTGAAGACAGGGATTTTTGTTCTCCGGCCCAAATGTTGCTTTTCCCAAGACCACTCTGGCCTGCCATGTCCCCATCCTGTGCCTATAAAAACCCCAAGACCCTAGCAGGCAAACACACAGGTGGCTGGATGTCAAGAGCACATTGATAGGCACCGCAGGCCTGCAGGGCACCCACCAGCAGAAAGACTCGGAGTTTAGCTGGGGTGGTCAGAGAGGAGTTGGCTGCTCAGCAGCTCGACTCCAGGGGAAAATCTTCCCACTCCATCCCCTTCTGGCTTCCCTCATCTGCTGAGAGCTACTTCCACTCAATCAAACCTTGAACTCATTCTCCAAGTGCAAGTGTGATCCGATTCTTCAACACCAAGGCAAGAATCCTGGGATACAGAAAGCCCTCTGTCCTAGCGATGAGACAGGGCTTCCATTGAGCTGACTAACACAAGCTGCCTACTGACGGCAAAACTAAAAGAGCATCCTGTAACACATACCCACTGGGGCTTCAGCTATAAACATTCACGCCTGGAAATTGTGGTGTGCTCAGAGCCCCCAGCCTGCCCATCTGTGTGCTTCCCTCGAGGTTTCAGCAGCGAGCCACATGGCCATTGCATGCCCTGTGAGGGACAGGGGAACTTTTCCTGTTTCAGAAACACCTGCTAAT